ACTCAATCAAAAGGTTGAAGTTATGACCATAGCCCAATATGTTATCATTCCAAGAAGCAATAATAACTTAGTACCAGACATTTCTTAAAATAAAAAGGCATTGGACGGAGTGAAGTGGTGGGCAGCATTATGTAGAGATGTTATCATTTGCCGCTTGCAGGGTTCGACCTTGCAACCATGAACTTGTAACATCCCTACCCAATGCTGCCCACCACTCCGTCACTGTCCTCGCCGAGATCAAATGATGTATGTTAACAAAAAAAAGTGCACCCTCGGAAACCCCTTAAAAACTCTAGTAACCATCAGYCGTAAATTTCAACTACATGGCGGATGCATGTRCATTATCACTTTACCAAACATTTCTCAAAATAAACGGGCATCGTACGGAGTGAAGTGGTGGGGAGCATATTATGTAGAGACGTTATCATCTGAGGATTGAGCATTGGAGAAGGCTCAAACGAATACGTAGGATACATCTAAATCAAACTGTGTACTGATTATCAGTTGCTGAAGTGACCAAGGACCTTATATTTATTTTGAAAGATCTCACTGGATTTTGAAGACATTTGACAACTCATGAGAATCAGATTGAAAAACAAAGACAAATTAAAAACAGAGCGGGACACCCAGCCTACATAAGCAGGCACACAACCATTGTCGAGACAAATGAGAAGTACGCCGTAAAAACAGATAACACTTATCTGGTCCCAATATTGTGAATTCGTGACGGTTACCTCAAAAGTTTCTATTAACCAAAGAGTTGCCAAGGCTATCCAAATCAAGAACACCCACTACGCCATGAAATGTGAACTAAACCTTGCAAAACTGAGTGCCACGTTCTACACAACCAAACAGTTTGCAAGGCGAGGACGCAGGATGAATCAGAAACCCTCAGTACTTTACACTGTGAAAATTTCAACTAATCAGACATTCTAATACAAAAATTTGAAAATGTCGAGATTTATCTCTGAAAAAGCCTACACTATGACAACATTCACAAATCCAACATCCTGACGAAACTCTAAAAACGTAAGACTCGTTACCAAAGTGTCCCGAGCTTGAAATCTTCAAAAGAAGCCTCTTCACAAAGCGTTCAGTAGCGGTTCCCATGTTGAACCGTCAACAATGTAAGCCGAGATAGGAGGTTGAGGCAGACCTTCGAACCCCGTAATGGAAACCGAGAACGTCTCCCCCGGCCATGACAACGGCACGTCTCAAGGACACAAGAACATCTGCAGCTTGCAGATAAGCTGATGTAAAATCTCCCAGCATCTTGTTTCCCTCTTGGCGCTCTTGTGTTTGCTTGTCGTAACAATATCCTTATTCTCTTGGTTGGATGCATCCGAACCACAACAGACCATGAGCCAGGATCAACACTCTCGACTTTCGTTAATACTTCACAGTGTGCAAATTTCAACTAATCTGACATTCGACCACAAAATTTGGGAAGTGTCGAGACTCGTCTCTCAAACTGGTGAAAAGTAAAAATAAACAAAAAATGACTGTACTACGGAAATGTTCATAAATCCGACATAATAACACAAAACTCTAGAAACATATGACTGGTCACGAAAAGTCTTAAAAAGTTGAATTCTTCAAAAGAAGCCTCTTCGCAGAGCGTTCACTATCGGTTCCCATGTCGAACCGTCCACCATGCAAGCCGGGATTGGAGGTTAARGCAGACCTTCAAACTCCGTAATGGCAAACGAGAAACCCTCAATGTCACCCCCTGCTCCGATCACAGCACGTCTCAAGGCGAAAAGAACTTCTGAAGCTTTTACATAWGCTTTTGTAAAATCTCCTCGCATCCGATTTTCCCCCCGATGCTCATATATGCGCATGTCGAAAATGTTCAGATCAGTAAACCTCACCATGATGACAAACATTGTCTGTCCTCCCAGTACGATCCTTAAGATTCTCTCATATTGAAAAGGAAACGCTCCTCTCTTTGTGATGATCGTCAGTCGCCCAAGAACTTTTATTTCAATAAAGCCCAAAATCTCATCTATGTTTTCGAAGAACGTCAGAAGAGGAAAGTCTGCACACTGCAAAAGATAAAAGTCACAATAAAAGCGTCACATCAAGGTCAGGATCGAAAGTCCGAGGTCATGCTACGACGACCAAAACGCCTCCATGGTCAATGTCGAAAATTGATGAAGAACTCTTGTTGATTTGAAGCGCGTAACCCAAAGAGCACAAATCATTAAGCGATGTATTCCATGGAGTCAAGCATGATGTGCACAGACCAGCATGGCAATACATTCTCCTCACGAAAAGACGACAACCATCACACTCTCGATGAGGTAGCCTCCTGCCCGCTCCCTTCTCCGGAAACGCTTTGTGTTTGAGCGCCAACTCCGTTTTCTAGAGCGGGAGTTGCATTTTTTCTTACTTTCAGAGGAATCACAAGACCGGTGGTAAACTTT